TTGGGTTTGTGTAGAAATTGGAGTTGGGGGGTGTCTCCAGCCCCGATCGCTTCAGCAGCGCCTGTCCCCTCGGCCGAAGGTCTCAGGTCAAAAGTTAACCCTGTGTGTTTTTTCTCTTGGGGCGTGTGTGTGTGCGTGCCCCCTCGTCCACAGCAGAATGATGGGCAGTTCACACCGATCCAGCTGGTTGGAATGCTGAGGGGCATCGCCTCGGGAATGAGGTACCTCTCGGACATGAGCTATGTCCATCGGGACTTGGCAGCTCGGAATATCCTGGTCAACAGCAACCTGGTGTGCAAGGTCTCGGATTTTGGGCTATCCCGGTTCCTGGAGGAGAATTCGTCGGATCCTACCTACACCAGCACCTTGGTAAGGAATCTGTCCTGGCCATCAAGCACGCAAACGGACCTTTCGGTTGAAACTGCCGACTACATTAATCTAGTCCCATTTGCCAGCATTTGGCTCATATCCCTCTAAACCCTTCCTATTCATGTCCCCATCCAGATGCCTTTTAAATGTTGTAATTGTACCAGCCTCCACCACTTCCTCATTCAACCCTCTGTGTGTGGAAAAAGTTGCCCCTTAGGTCCTTGTTAAATCTCCTCTCACCTTAAACCTATCCCTTGGACTCTGGGAAAAGATCTTGTCTATTCACCCCTATCCATGCCCCTCGTGATTTTATAAACCTCCATAAGGTCACCCCCTCGGCCTCCGACGTTCCAGGGGAGGGAAAAGAAATGTCCTAGCCTATCTCGAACCTCCCAGTCCCGATAACATCCTGGTAAATCTTTTCCGAGCCCTTAACTCCGTAAGAGAACACAACAAGAAGACAACACAGCTGGACACACAGGTCGGAGATAGTAGGAACTGCAGATCGATGCTGGAGTCTGAGGTAACAGAGTCATCCTACTGTATGTCAGGGACATATCAGAGATGACCACTCAGACCCCAACGTAACCCTCAAACGAAGAACCGCCCTCTGACCGCTACTAACGAACGTAAAGGATCCCACAACCAATAAAACTAATGTAATATACAAATTACTTAGGCCAAATTGGAAGAAACCTGACAATAAAGATACACGAACACCAAATAGCCCCCAAGAGACACGACCAATTCTCGCTGGTCTCAATACACACGGACAACGAGGGACATGAATTTGACTGGGACAACACAGCCATAATAGCACGAGCCAAACAGAGAAACGCCAGGGAATTCCTGGAGGCATTCCAACCAGAACTCGCATCAACAAACACATTGAACTGTACTCGATATACAAACCACTGAACGCTTACCTAGTAGGGTGACGAAACATCTGCAGTCAAACATACAGGCTCAGCGAGCAATTCTACAACCTCGTCCACAACCCGAGCTACACCTCTTCTCAAAAGGTTTAAACCCTTTCCAATTTAATAACATCCTTTCTGTAGCAGGATGACTAGAACTGGACACAGTGCTCCAGAAGAGGCGTCACCAACGTCCTGTACGAGCTCAACATGACATCCCAACTCTTATACTCGCAGGTCTGAGCAATGTTTCCCCATCTCTGTCTTAAATGGCCACCCCCTTATTTTTAACCTCGCCCTAGTCCCAGATTGACCCCACAGCAGGAAACATCCCTTTCAGTTTCCAGGTCCCCATCAGGATCTTCCATGTTTCAATTGATATTTCTGTGATATTTCTGAGGAGCAGAGGGATTGAGGGAGACAGGGAGGAGGTGGGGAACGAAGGGAGATGGGGAGGAGATGAGGGACGGAGGGGGACGGGGAGGAGGTGAGAGGGTCGGGGCAGAGGTGGGGGGAGATGGGGAGGAGGCAGGGAAGAGGCTAGGCTTTCGTCCCTTCGTAATTGTTGGCTCTCAAATAAAACACAGATAGTTGGTCACTCACTGATCCAGTGATATCATTGAGTGTTGCTGACAACAGAGAAACCATCAGGGAACGAGGCAGCTACGTGTGGGCCATTTTGAAAAGTTAGCAACGTGTGGGTGACAAAATTGGTGAATATTTTACTACAGTCATCTTCCAGAGATAAGGCATAGTAGGGATGTTAATGAGGGAATTTTAACGGAATCAGTCGGTTTATGACCAAGACCGTTGGCGTGTTTAGTTCTCATTTAACCGTTGAAATGACGGATTTCTCTTTTCTCGGACGCAGGGCGGGAAAATCCCAATCCGCTGGACAGCTCCAGAGGCCATTGCTTTCCGCAAGTTCACCACAGCCAGTGACGTGTGGAGTTATGGGATTGTCATGTGGGAGGTGATGTCCTATGGAGAAAGGCCATACTGGGATATGTCCAACCAGGATGTAGGTATTCCGGAATCTGCCTGCTGCCTTGAAGGAACAGTTTCTGTCCTCATGAACTCCTCCCCTCCGGGCCCCCCGACGCGCCCCGCGCCGCCCCTCCGGGCCCCCCGACGCGCCGGGCCACACACCCCTGGGCCTTGAGCCTCGCCCCAGGCCACATCCCCGGCCCCTGACGCCCTGGGCCTCACCCCCAGTGCCCTGACGCACCCTGGGCCTTGAGCCTCGCCCCAACATAGACTCTCGAGTCCTAGTGATGGCCTGTCGCCCCATGACTTCTAACCCCCGTGGCCGTAAATTCTAGTGCCTGCTGCTGACCCGTAACAACCCCCTGACCCTGTGGCACTAACGGCCATGCGACTCCACCCCCGCAGGTGATCAACGCCATCGAACAGGATTACCGGTTACCGCCGCCACCAGACTGCCCCACCTCGCTGCACCAGCTGATGTTGGACTGTTGGCAGAAGGAGCGCAACACCCGGCCGCGGTTCGGTCACATCGTCGGCGCCCTGGACAAGATGATCCGCAACCCGGCCAGCCTGAAGATCGTCACCCGGGAGCTCGGAGCGTGAGTTGCTGTCGTCGCACTCCTCAAATCCGATCCCCTCCACCCCCACCCCAACGCCAAAACTCCCAACCCTCCGGCCTCCATTTCCCGGCCCACCGCTTTCTGCCTGGGGAACCCTGTCTGGTGGAGCCCTCTTCTTTTCGTTCGCTGTCCCTTTCTTCCTCATAGAATCCCTACAGTGTAGAAACAGGCCCTTTGGCCCTATAAGTCCACACTGACCCTCCGAGCATCCCACCCAGACTCGTCCCCCTATAACCCACCCTAACCTGCACATCCCTGAGCACTATGGGGACAATTTAGCACGACCAACCCACCCTAACCTGCACATCCCTGGGCACTATGGGACAATTTAGCACGGCCAATCCACCCTAACCTGCACATCCCGGGGCACTATGGGACAATTTAGCACGGCCAATCCACCCTAACCTGCACATCCCTCGGCACTATGGGACAATTTAACATGGCCAACCCCCCCTAACCTGCACACCTTTGGACTGTGGGAAGAAACCGGAGCACCCGGAGGGAAACCCACACAGACACGGGGAGAATGTGCAAACTCCACACGGACAGTCACCCGAGGGTGGGATCGATCCCGGGTCCCTGGCACCGTGAGGCAGCGGCGCTAACCACTGAGCCACACATTGCCTCATTAAACATTGGAGATTATTCAGCCAGTCCATGAGTTTTGTGGCTAATCTAATGTTACAGCACAGAAGGAGGCCATTCGACCCTTCGTGTCTGTGCCAGCTCCCGAAAGGGCTACCCAGCTCGTCCCACCCTCCTGCCCTATCTCCGTACCCGTCTAGTTTAATCTCTTTCAAATAGATCTCCAGCTCCCTTTCCAAACCTCCTATGGAATCCGCCTCGCCCCAGCTCTATCTTGCTGACAATCTTAAAGTTTTGTGACCCCCACCCACTAGCGGAGACAGAATATCCTCCTTTATCCTGTCAACATTGTACATAATTTTGAACATCTCTATAAGGTCACCTCTTGATCATCTCTGCTTCGAGGTGAATAAGGGCCAGTCTCTTTAATCTTTCCTTGAGTCTAAGATCCCTTATTCCTGGCATCATTCCGGTAAATTTGTTTTAAATTCTTTCCAGGGCTTTAACGTCCTTCCTTAAATGAAGAAGTGAGCACCACACTCCCCAGATGTGGCCTGACCAATGGTTTGTGGAGGGAGTGCCTTCCTTGCTCTGTTACTGTCTGCCCCCGTTTACGAACCCGAGATCTGTTTCGTGTTTCACCTTGCCTGGTGAATTGTACACGTGAACCCCGAGGTCTTTCTGCTCCTGTGCTCCCCTCAAAGTCACACTGTTGAGTCTGTTGCCAAAACCTCATGTCTCTCTCTGCATCAAAGTTCATCCGCCTGGTCACCCCCGGCTCCCCTTCCCTGCCTTTTCCGAGAAGTCTCGATCCCCAAGAAGAATCTACCTCGGCTTTGAGTGTACTCGACAACCCAGCCTCGACAGCCCCTCGGCCATAAGGGATTCCACAGATTCACTCCCCTCGAGAGAGACAGAGAGACAGATTGCCCTGAGGTCGCTGCGCCAATTTTGGCCATTTTGTTTTGGCACAGCAGAGGGTTGGGCCATCAGGTCCATCCCTTTCCTTGTTACCGAACCCCCCTACAACCCCGGCTTCCTAAAACAATACCCCCCCACCCCCCATTCGTCTCATCCCATTCCGAGAGAGGGAAAGAGAAAAACTGTCACAGGGCTAACAATGGAGGAAAGCAATGGTTCCCGTCCAACACCGCCATCCCCATCTCCCACCCCCTTCCCACCAGCCTCTGAAACCGGTTTCAGGGCAAGTTGGACGCTCCTTGACGACGCTTGGTCGGCTTCGTCAGCTGCGGCCTGGTGGGAAAGGCTTCGTCGTCCCCTTGTCCCCCTGCGCGCGGAGTCGGTGGATTCTGCGCTCGCGAGGGGTGGAATCCCTGGCCGCCACTGGGCAGTGCAGTTGGAGCTGGGGCCGCGGCAGTGGTAGAGGTGCCAGCCACTACAGAGTAGTGGTTTAGGCCGAAGCCAGGCATTTCTCCCACCCCCTTTGTTAGCGGGGTGGTGGGGGAGAAATGGACAGTGGAGGGGCGCTGACCCAGCAGACAGCTGATGCCGGTGGCCTTCGTAACTCAGCTCAGTGGGATCTTGCTGTGTGCGCGCTAGCCGGGCCAAGAGGGGTCTTTGCGGGGCGTCTTGGGGGATCGTCGGAGGCGCTAAACGAACGCTGCGCATGTCTCCAATGACTCCGCCAAGTGACCTTTCACCTCCCGTTGTTTCTCTGCCCCGCCCCTCACCCCCGCAGCCTCTCGCAGCCCCTCCTGGACCGCGGGACGCCCCACTACACCACGTTTGCGACGGTCGGAGAGTGGCTCAGCGTGATCAAGATGGGGCGATATGAGGAGAACTTCGCCAATGCTGGCTTCACGACCTTTGACCTGGTCACTCAGATGTCCGCGGAGTGAGTATTCCCCCTCGGGCCGCTGTCCTCCACACCACGCCTTCCTTTGCCACTCCCTGGGGGGTGAGGAGGGGTCCTCATAGGCCTGGGACGTGTGTGTGTTTGCTGCCCCGTCCATAATTGCCCCTTTGAGACGGTGAGGGTAACCTGCCATCTCTTGACCCTCTGCAGTCCCGTGTGCTATCGGACAACCCACACAATGCCCTCAGGGAGGGGAGTTCTAGGATTCTGACCCAGCGGCACTGATGGAACAGCCAATATATTTCTAATTTCTAATTCAGGGTGGGGGGCGGCTCGGAAGGGAACTTGGAGGGGCTAGGTGTGGGGCGGAGGTGGGGGTGAGGTCCCATGTATCTGCTGCCCTTGTCCTTCTGGATGGAGTGTTTGATGGGGGACAGTGTAGAGGGAGTTTTGCTCTGTATCTACCCCCGTGCTGTCCCTGTCCTGGGAATATTTGATGGGGGAGGGACAGTGTAGAGGAAGCTTTACTCTGTATCTAACCCCGTGCTGTCCCTGTCCTGGGAATATTTGATGGGGGAGGGACAGTGTAGAGGAAGCTTTACTCTGTATCTAACCCCGTTCTGCCCCAGTCCTGGGAGTGTTTGATTGAGGGACAGTGTAGAGAAAGCTTTACGCACAGTTTGAAAGAGTAGAAGAAGCATTACTCTGGCTTTTGAAGCTGGCGATTTAAGAAAGCGGCGCGCGTATAAACCCGGGGATCCGGGAGAGGCGTGTAGGAGGGGTTGGACCCGTGGTGGGTGGGGCGGAAGCGCAGAGAGGGTGGTGGGAGAATGCGGGCTTGTGAACCTCCAGGGGGTAAGTGAATGGCCTGCTTTTGCTTTGTGCCCATGCAGGGACCTGTTACGAATTGGAGTCACTCTCGCTGGCCACCAGAAGAAACTGCTAGCCAGCATCCAGACCCTGAGGGCGCAGGTGAAGCCATCGGCGACAGCCCGCAACTGACCCGAGCAGGGAGTCACGTGGAATCAGATAACCGCCAGGGAGAAGGAGGAGGCACAGAGAGAGAGAGTGGGGACGGGGGGCAAGGACGCAAGGTTCGAAGCTGTGCCCCTCTCCTGAGCCCCACGCATCTCTCGGCCTCCTCTAATATCTCGGACCTTTGGGGAAAACTTTCGGGAGTTTGTCCCCGGACTCGTTTTGCACTTTTTAAAATTTTTGTAAATGTCGTCATCGTGAGGATTCCCGGGCCTCAACAGAAACGCTGAGCGCCCCCCCCCCAACACCCACCCCGGGCGCTGTTCCGTGGGGGTTAACCCTCCAGCGGGCACTCTCCCCCTCTCCCCCTGTCGGAGTGTGTGGGGGGGACGGGTGGGGGCACGGGGGTGAGGAGAGAAGGGCATGTGCCAGAGGGGGCAGGGTCCGTTTCCCCCCCACAAACGTCAGAGGAGCAGCGCGGACGCAGCGCGCACGTCGGTGACACGGTGAAGAGGCGACTCAGTCGGATCCCAGTCTTCACATTGAAGGTGCTCTGGGACCGGGAGACGCGGCCAATTGTCCCGCGCTTTCGAAGCACTGCATGCTGGGTAGACCCCCACCCCCTCCCCCAAAACCCCGAACCGAACTCCTGACGCCTCACGGCTCTCTTTTGAAGAGCCTTTTCCCCTGTGTTCGCGCGACGTGTTGACTGCCAGTCCCTGCGACCGAGCGGAGTGTCCCCTGAAGCCCCTTTCGGCGAGGCCTGAGGCCTACTGGGCCCTGACCGTCTTCCCTCCCAACTCTTCACTTCCTCCCAACAATTCGAATGGGGCTATGCCTCCCCTCCGGCCCTGCATTTGTATAACGCCCACCCTCCTCCGATGTGGTTGACGCTTTAACTGCCCTCTGGGAGGGCCGGCCTAGCCAGCGACGCCGCCCTCCCACGAACGAACGCTGAAATAAAACAACCTTGTTCGTCACAGACCTCCCAGGAAGAGAGCGCGGTTTTAAAGAAACCGGCAAAACGACGCGTAGATTTCAAGATGGATGGCGACATTGACTTCTTTCGTCTTTTCTGATGGGTTGCCACGGAGATGGGCCGGCAGCCATTTTGACATGAGATCGCACTGGTCTGAGGCCAGGCAGTGACCATGGAGGGCGGGGTGGCTCTGGGGGTGGGCGAGGGCGAGGGCTAGGTGGGGTAGCGGCAAAATGGGTGAGGAGGAAGGGGGGCCGGTTATCGGTGAGGAAATGGCCACTTGGCGATCGCGGTTTGGGACCCGTACGGTGGCCCTTGGGGGTTGGGGGTGATCGATGCAATAAAATGGTACAAGAAAAGCCCCACCCCCTCCCACCTCGCACAACTCCACCACCCTTTCACATGTCCCCACCCTCAACAGCCCGGGGGAGGGGGTGGGGGAAGGGGTTGGTGGTACATTACACTGAGTGTGCACACTGAGTGTGCCCACTGTGAGGTAAGTTGACAATATGGCGCTCTGTTTTGGGATTTTTCTGCCTCCAGCGTCGGCTGTTTGGGATTGGGATTGGCGCGAGAGTTGGGACCTCCCGTACCCCCTGCTCCACCCTGCCTCGCTTCAGCAATTTCCAGCCAGGCCCCGATGGCACCCGAATCCTGTGATGTCGAAACACTTTTTTTTTCCTTTTTTTTTAATAAAAGGTATTTAAATCACTTTTTTATGGCAGCGACTGGTGTTTTATTTCTCCGTCCTTGGTTCATTGAGAGGCGTTCGTGTGGAGAGAGGAGTGGGGGGAGTCGTGGAGGTCTACAGCACAGGAAAAGGCCCTTCGGCCCATCAAGAGTGTACCAGTCCAAAGCAACCGCCTAGTCCTATTTCCCAGCATTTAGCCTGTAGCCTTGGCTTTGCAAGTGGCATATTTGAATACGACGATGTTATGAGGGTTTTTGCCAGAACCAGGCACGGAGTGAAATATTTCTCACCCATATCTTCTCTAAATCTCCTCCCCCCTTACCTAAAATTTACCCCCCTTGCCTCCCCCCCCCCCCCCCAACCCCCAACACTCAGTGATCCCTCCATCAAGCAGTAAGGTTTATTCCTGCCTATAGCCCTCATAATGTTATACATCTCAGTCATGTCCCCTCTGCTCTAGGGAAAACACACCCCAGTCTGTCTATTCTCTCTTTCAAAACTGAAACTGTCCAGCCCCAAGGCCCCATCCTGCTGAATCTCCTCTGTACCCTCCCCAGTGCAATCACGTCCCTCCGATAACGCAGTACTCTGGCTGTGGAATGGATTTGAGGAAAGGGGTGGGAGGTTTAGAGGGAATGTGAGGAAAAGCTTTTCATTATTCTACCCAGAGCCTGACTGGGGGTGCGGGGGGGGGGGTGTCTAGAATGCTCAGCCTGGGAGGGTAGTTGAGGCGCGAAACCTCACACGAGCTTTTGAAAAAGTATTTAAGTATTTGGATAAGCACTTGAAATGTCATAATAGTGAAAGATACAGGCCTAATGCGGGAAAGTGAGACTAGTGCAGATGGGTCAGTATAGAGTGGATGGGTCAAAGGGCCACTTTCTGTGCTGTGAGGCTGTATGTACTCTGTTTGGGGGTGGGGTGTAGAAGTGGGGACACAGTTTAAGGATACAGGGTGGACCACTTATGACTGAGCTGAGAAGAAATGTCTTCACCCAGAGAGTGGGGAGTCTGTGGAATTCTCTGCCACAGAAAGCGGTTAAAACATTGAATGTTTTCAAGAAGGGGTTAGGTATGGTTCTTAGGGCTCAGGGGATCAAGGATGGGGAACGGTGGGAAAGAAAGTGGGGTCAGGGACTGAGTTGGATAATCAGCCATGATCCTACAGAAAGGGGAAGCAGGATCTAAGGGCTGAATGGCCACGTTCTGCTGCTCTGTCTCACGGTGATGGGTCTCCCATCTTGCCTCATCTTTTCCCAACCTCTCCCACGGTCAGGGCTTTTCCCAGGCCAGGACCGAGCTTCCAGAGGGTGGGATCCGGGTCAGTACGGATTACCCTGCGAGATGAGGGGTGGGCTGTCTGAGGGGGAGAGAGAAGGAGCTCCATCAAAGGAGCGACTGAACCAATGAGGCCTGTCCCAGGAGGAAACACAGAGTCACACAGCACACAAAAACAGACCCTTCGGTCCATCCAGTCCATGCTGACCATCATCCCAAACTAAACCAGTCCCACCTGCCTGCTCCTGGCCCATATCCTTCCAAACCTTTCGTATTCAAGTACTTATCCAAATGCCCTTTAAACATTGTAACTGTACCCACATCCACCACTTCCTCTGGAAGTTCATTCCACACACAAACCACCCTCTGTATTAAAAAAATCGCCCCTCATGTCCTTTTTAAATCTTTCTTAAAAATGTGTCCCCTGGTCTTGAAATCCCCCACCCTAGGGAAAAGACACCTGTCATTCTCCTTCTCTATACCCCTCACGATTTTATAAACCTCTATAACATCACCTCTCAACCTCCTACACTCCAGTGAAAAAAGTCCCAGCCTCTCCTTATAACTCAAACCCTCCATACCTGGCAACATCCTGGTAAATCTCTCCTGAACCCTCTCTCCAGCTTCATAATATCCTTCCTATAACAGGGTGACCGGAACTGGACACAGTGCTCCAGAAGAGGCCTCACCAACGTCCTGTACAACCTCAACATTAAGTAACAAAGATCTGAGCAATGAAGGCAAGTGTGCTAAATGTCTTCACCACCTTTTATACCTGTGACACAAACTTCAAAGAATTATGTACCTAAACCCCTCGATCACACTGTTCTACAGCACTACCCAGGTCCCAACTTTTGACTCTGTCAGTCCTGCCCTTGTTTGTTTTACTAAAATGCAATACCTCGCTTTTATTCAAATTAAACTCCACCTGCCACTCCTCAGCCCATTGACCCAACTGATCAAGATCTCTTTGTAATCTTAGATAACCTTCTTCACAGTCCACCATATCACCAATTTTGGTGCCATCTGCAAACTTACTAACCATGCTTCCTAAATTCTCATCCAACTCGTTTATATAAATAACAGAAGTGGACCTAGCACCAATCCCTGAGAAGCACTGCTGGTCACAGGCCACCAGTCTGAAAAACAACCCTCCACCGCTGCCCTCTATCTCCTACTGTTAAGCCAATTTTATATCCAATTGACCAGCTCTCCCTGAATCCCGTGTGATCCAAATTTACTAATTGGTCTACCATGTGGAACCTTGTCACAGGTTTTACTAAAGTCCGTGTAAGTAGTTTCTACCGCTCTGCCCTCATCCATCTTTTTGGTTACTAACTCAAAAATCTCAGTCAGTTTATGAGACCAGATTTCCCTCACACAAAGCCATGCCTAATCGTTCCTTGCCTCTCCAAATGCATATATGTCCTTTGGAATCACCTCTAACAGCTTCCCCTCTACTGAAGACGGGCTCACAGGTCTGTAGTTGCCAGGATTCTCCATTCTAAAAGAAAGGCACAACATTAGCCACGCTCCATCACCTCATCTGTGGCTATAGATGATACAAATATTTCTGCCATGGGCCCTGCAATTTCTTGCCAAACTTCCCACAACGTCCTGGAGATTTATCTACCTTTATATTTCCTAAGATCTCCAGTGCTTCTGGAATGTGAACTGTTTTCCAAACATCGATAGGGAGGTGGGGTGGAAGATCGAGGAGGGAGGGGGGAGGATCGAAGAGGCAGGAGCAATGAGGGGGAATTGAGGAGGAGGGAGGGGTCTCTCTGTGACTGTAAAGAGGTTTGTTCGTTGTGTGTCAAACAGGAGTCATTTGTCCAGGCTGCTGCAGTTTACAAAGTGATATCTATGTTTGTAAAGACAGGGGTATGTCCTCTGCTCTGTCCCATTTTTAAATCACTCTGCCTCAGTTTTAAATCGCTCCATCCCATTTTAAATCGCTCCGTCTCAGTTTTA